GAGCTCATCTTGGCCGCCACGAAGAAGTCTTCTGGTTCCATGAACGACTCTTACTTTGATGCAGTAGTCTTCCTGACGATGTTCTTACTCATCGGCCGTTTCTTGGAAGCTTATAGCAAAGCCAAGACTGGCGATGCTGTCACCTCGCTTGGAAAGCTTCGACCAAACGAGGCTGTTCTTGTCGACGCAGAGAAAGGCGACACCAAGATCGCGACTGATCTTCTCGAGGTCGGCGATGTCGTTCGAGTCCACAATGGCACTTCGCCACCGTTCGATGGAGATATCATCGAAGGCAGCACTAACTTTGATGAGTCTAGCTTGACTGGCGAGTCGCGTCCGGTCAAGAAGACCGAGGGTGATACTGTGTTCTCCGGTACAGTGAATAAAGGTTCACCCGTCAAGATCAAGGTTACGACAGTATCGGGTACTTCCATGTTGGATCAGATAATCCATGCTGTGCGTGAAGGGCAGTCACGTCGCGCACCGGTCGAACGCGTCGCTGATACTATCACTTCGCATTTTGTACCTTTTGTCATCGCCGTTGCCATCATCACCTGGCTTGTCTGGCTCATTCTTGGTACTACTGGTGCGATACCGAACGATTGGAAGAATGAATCCGCTGGCGGTTGGGAGCTTTGGTCTCTTCGCTTTGCCATTGCCGTCTTCGTCATCGCTTGTCCTTGCGGCATCGGCCTAGCCGCACCCACTGCGCTCTTTGTGGGAGGTGGACTGGCCGCCAAACATGGTATCTTGGTCCGCGGTGGTGGTGAAGCTTTCCAAGAAGCCAGTTCACTCGACTGCATCGTCTTTGACAAGACTGGCACCTTGACACAGGGTGGCGATCCAGCAGTAACGAACCACAAGTTCTCTAACGTTCAGGACGCTGCAATCGTGTTGGGTATTGTCAAGGCATTGGAAGAGAACAGCAATCATCCTATCGCTCGAGCACTAGTCTCCTTCTGTAACAAGGAGACCCACAACACACCTACAGCAGTCAACGTTGATGAGGTGCCTGGCAAGGGTCTCAAGGGCACTTTCAGGGTCGATGGACAAGACATTGTGGCGATAATTGGCAATGAAAGCTTCATGGCTGACCATAACGTCCCCATCTTCGCCGACGATGCGTCAACACTGCAGAAGTGGAAGTCGCAGGGAGATTCGGTCGCTTTAGTCGCCTTGTTTCTACCACGAACTGGTGAGCAAAGTGTGGCAGAGCAGTCCGAGCCATCCAACACGTCGGAGGCCCTGTCACTCGCCGTCACTGAAATTCAACCTCCGTCATCCTGGCGACTCGCATGTACCTTCTCCATCGCGGATCCGCTCCGTCCCGAGGCACCAGGCGTCATATCAGCCCTACAGGCACGCGGCATAGACGTCTGGATGCTGTCTGGTGACAACCCAACTACAGCCAACGCTGTAGGCGCGCAAGTCGGCATCCCAACTTCCAACATCATTGCCGGCGTCCTCCCAGACCAGAAAGCCGAGAAGATTAAGTACCTTCAGCAGACCCTCACCAAGCCACACAAGTCTATATTGAACATCCCCTTCCTATCTCGCAGGCAGAAGACGCAGAAACACGCAACTGTTGCTATGGTAGGCGACGGCATAAACGACGCACCCGCTCTCTCTACCGCCGACCTCAGCATAGCAATCGGCTCTGGTTCTGACATTGCCCTCTCATCTTCCTCCTTCATCCTCATCAACTCTCGCCTCACGACTATCCTCACCCTTCTCGATCTCTCCCGCGTCGTCTTCCGTCGCGTATACTTCAATTTCGGCTGGGCGCTCATCTACAACCTCGTCGCCATGCCCATCGCCGCAGGCGTCTTGTTCCCCATCACCACCGGCGGCAAGCAGATGGACATGCACCATAATGGCGTTGGAATGGAAGGCGGTATGGCGATGGAGGACACGGGGCGGAAGCATATCAGACTTGATCCTGTTTGGGCTAGTTTGGCGATGGCGTTGAGTAGTGTGTCTGTGGTTTGTAGTAGTTTGGCGTTGAGGAGCAGGGTGCCTGGTGTGGGGTTTAGGGTTAAGGGAGGAAAGGAGGGCAGGGAGGGTACGGTGGATGGTGTGGAGAAGCAGAGAGTAGGGGATCAGGAAATGGTTTAGGGAGTAGTCAGTTAGCTGGTGGTATGGTGTGGTAATGGTATCCCTATTCCGACGAATTCTCTAACAGCTATTCAACATCCTCAATCACACTACCGTCTGACTTCCTCCAACTCCAATGCTGTTCAATCTGCCAAATCCGGCAATCCTCTATCCTTAACCTCGAGACTCAAGTTCTTTTCTGCCACTGCCCACCCCTCTCCCGCCTTATACTTCTTCCGTCTTCCAACACTAATCTTCACATCCGCTTCACCCGTCTTATGCATTGCATAAGTCGTCATCCATTGCCTCTCAGCAAGCATTAGGTACTGGGAACCCCAGTAACCCTCGAGAAGCGGGGAGGGCTTGTAATACCAAGGCACTTCCTTGCTCTCTCGCAATTCTTGTGGTGGTACTGCAGGGTACCAAAATGCCTGGAACTGGCTTTGCCCCATCGCAGTCCTATACCAGAAGTAAGGGTCGGGTATTATGATTGGAAGAGATGTCTCTTTAGTGTTGTACTCATCCTCGTCATCGGCATCGTACGCTGTGTCTGGTATTGCCTCCCTTTTTGCGACTTTGGCAACACGTCTCTGTTCGTGTTCTTGTCCATCTTTGTCCTTGTTTTTGACTTTGTCTTTATCTTCGCTCGACAAACGTTTCCGCTTCGGTGCAATAGTGAAGGAGCGGATTGGCGTGGCGAAGAGGAGGGAGGGTGAGACGGGGGAGTTCTCACGGACTTGTCGTACTTTGATTTCCCAGGCGCAATTTGAGCGTGGGCTTCGAATTGGTTTGTTGGTAGATGGAGGGAAGGTGGGCGCTTGCTTTGGTGCCATTTTTGTGGTTGTTTGTGTGGGTGAATGTAAGGAGGGGATGGGAGGTTTGTTGGATGGATTGGATGGGCTTTACCGAAATGTTGGAGTTTAAGGATTCTTATTTGGAAAGTATGTGAGTTTTATATTTGAAAAGCCATGACTGTGCCTATGATTGTTTGGTTCATTACTCTCAAAGGACGGAGAACCACTCCGAGGAGTATATTGGGACTGGAAATCGTTGCCTGAACCTGGAAGGGGGAGTATCGCATCCAGGCAGTATACAATAGGGATGCGCTGAATGGATAGGTTGGAGCTGACAAATGTGGGATGTGGAGCCGACGAAAGAGTTGGGCGCCGTTGTAGTCGCCCGGGTGTGGTATTGCAAAGCTTTCTACCATGGAAATCAACGTTGTAGTCAGCAAAGGTCGCGCACAAAGTGTTGGATATTATCTGTATGGCTGGAAAAATTCGAGTTCGTGCCTAGCACCTGGGGGATTTTGAAGCGACTGTTAGCATATACCAGGGTCTCAAACAACTGCGCGTGTATGAAGATTATAGGTCTTGCGAGTGAAGTGCGATGTGTTCGAAGATATCGCGTATTGATTCTAAACGATGTATGAAACAAAGAGGTAATGCGAAGCTTCTCGCAAGTATTGCTGTGTGCTAGGAAGCAAGATGCAGGAAACATTCCTACGTCACACCTTCGCGTTGACTTTGAGTATGCGCATTTCCTAAGCCCATATGGGGCAAATGCCCTGATACCATCCTTCCCGATGACCCTCGTCCTCCCCTTAGTCTTGCGACCACCTCATCGGGTTGGCGCGAACACCCTTCGCACCAGACGCCGAGGCAACAGCGCCCCTGCTGTTCTTCTTCACCTCAGCCACTCGAACAGGCGGTCCCTGGCGTTTCTTGTTGTCCCTCTCGATTTTCTTGATCAGGTCGGGCGTAATCATGATCGGCTTGCGGGGGCCGTGACTGCGTTTGGCCTTTGCCGGCTTGGGTGGCGTGGAGTCGACGACTTTGACGGTTTCGGCGATTTCTGATAGATGTGTCGACGAGTTTGTTGGTTCTTCAGAGATTGCCTCGAGATAAGAACTTGCGAAGGCAGGGGCGGAAGCCGAGCGATGAAGGGATGCAGGTACAGATGTGGACCGCGCAACAGGCCTCAGGAAGGCAGTCGGGTCCACCTTCGTACTGCCTTCGATGCCTTCCTCATAAGTACTGGAGGGAGCGATGGCGATGGTGGATGATGCTCTGGGAGGGGAGACTTGGACGAGAGACTCTTCGGATTTCTTTCCGCACGTCGAGCACTCTGACTGCTTTCGTGTGTTGTTGGAGGAGACTAGTTTACGAACGAAGCTGAACCAGCGCCTAGCAGACGACTTTTCTTTTCGTTGGACGTGGGTGGAGGCCTTCAAATCGGCTTCGTTGGTGGTAGTGCTGCTGTCGGTGCTCGCGCTCAGCCGAGCAAGGTCGGCGTTGGTGGTGGTAAGAGAAGCCATAACTAGCGATGGGATGTAAGATAGACAGAGAAAGTCCTATATGTGTCTGAGGAAAGTTATACAGAAGAAATTTCCAGGCGCACAGCTGATTTATGGATGCTACCGCTCTTTACGCTGCCACCTTCAGATGGTCACGCTGCACTAAGTGATGACTGGAACCATGAGGCTCGTAGGCTGCGAATACATCATACGTAAATTGGCGTTGTAGTAGAGCACCTACTGTTGGCTGAACCAGATCCTGATGGCGGTATGCCGAACTTTGAGTTCGCCAAGGTCAGGCGACAGTGGTCGTGGGAGACGGCCCAGGGTATGAAAAGGATCCAGAGCCAAGGCGCACCCATCGAACGCAACCATAAATCTATGAGTCGTGAGCATTAGGTGGAGAGAGGCAAGTGCATGTGGAAGGCACAAAACACGGCCAGTGACCTGATCGCTGCGAATGACTGCGATCGAATACCAACCCAATTCAAGACAACTCTGTGGGCCGAACAAGATCAGATGGTTAAAAAGTGGTATTCCCTGAATGATCCTATAGCGCCAGCCCAATGCCCATATTCTTATACACCAATATACAAGGTCGTGTATTTCGCTACTTGCGCGCTTCGACCGCCTGCTGGAGTGCTTGGGTGGTGCCCAGTGGCTGTGCGGCTCGGTCTAGAGGCTTGTCCGGTACGATGACATCCTCGAACTCATCCTGTGAGATGGCATTGATGGTGTATGTGTCTATGCGCAATTAGTCAATGCTCTAGCCAGAGAAGGCGTGTGCCATACAGATGCCAACAACCAGGGTGCAGATAGCGAAGCCGGTGATGGTGTTTTTGATCAGGTACGGCGCGCGGGTTCGCAGCAGGGCCGGCGATGCCCGCATGCGGTCGTCATAGTAGGTCGAGCGGAAGGGTTTGCTGTCGGCGTTAGCATACGCCCTCGATGTACATGCGCAATGCCACTTACTATCCCATGTTGGCGTGCTGAGACTCTCACTGCTTTGCGGGGAATCGCCAATGTCTCGCCGCGGTGGTGAACTTCCACCACGCTAGGCGGCCTTGGCGGCCAGGCGTAGATCATCATGGCACTGCCGCGAACCCTCCGCGTCACTCACCACCCGCAGCTGTAGTCAACAACACCAGTCGCGCAATCCCCCTTCGCTTCTCCACGCTCTCTACGCCTCTTTAATTATTAGCTTTGCTGGGAATGGGAGCGCCCTTGACGTCAGATACCGGGCTTTGTCGCGTTCTTAGTCTGGCTGCCGTGCGCGCGTGAGGCAGCGTCACTTCTCTTCACCCTTTCGAAGAAACCAAGCTCGTCTCGTGTGCACTCGCCATCAGCCATCGCCATGAGTTCGCAAACGATACAGCAAATGGAGTCCGCCCGGTCGCTCGCGTTAGGCGACGGTAGATACTATCCTACCATCATACCGGGCGTGCTCCCCATCATCGGCTACAGTGAAGACCAGAGCATCGAGATACAGCGCTGGGGTGCCGACTTTCTGGCCGAGGCTTTTGCGTCGCCAACATGGCCTCAAGATGTCAAGCAGAACAGCGCGCCCTCTGTGCTGGCTACCCTGAAAGCCTACCTCGACAATGTTGAAGACAAGAGCGTCATCAAGAGCGCCATCCAGGCGGCTGCCAGCGTGTACCCGCTTGTCTACAAACACATGTAAGTGACATCCCAGGCATCAGATAGAAGTCCCCATGTCAAATATGCCATGCGCATCTTGAGGTCCCCTTGCCAGATGCCTATGATTGCAGTCACGCGAACACGTTCTTATACTTGCATGTGTCAGTGTCTCCGACGCCAGCGATGCCCAGAAATGGCAGCTCATGGCCGGCATCAAGTCCAACATCTTGCGACGAATGGATGCAGCTGCGCCCGGTGTGCGGATATGTTGCGTCAAGTTCCTCCAGCAAGTCGTCCTGGTACAGACACCAGGCGTTACGGACCCTAGGGTAAATACCACACTCTACCCAATGTATAGACAGCCATCTGATCCCTCGCAGCGCGCCGACCCGAACGACATCTCCCTCTCCCTCGTATCCCGCGACCACCCCCTCATACCCTACGCGAGCCTCGAGGCTGAAGGACACGGGCTGTTGGACAGGTTGCTGGATATCATACACGGAGATCACAGGTTAGATAGACAGTCGCAGACTGTTGGGATGCCTCTAACAGAGACTAGTGACGGCTTGCTTGTGACTGCGACACTCAACAGCTTGGGCATGTTAATTCACCGCCGCCCAAATGTTGCAAATAAGATCTTGAACAGTGTCTTCAACTTCAACCCTCTCAAGCTCGCCAATTCGCCCATGACGCCCAAGAACAAGGTCATCATGAAGTCAATTGAGCGCACAACAAGGGCACTGCTTGTGAACATCATAAAGAGGTATGTCTGCCTTGCTATATGATAGTACTGCTGATGCTCATAAACGTAGAAACTCCCCAGATAACCCCATCAACGGACGGATACAGCAGTTCCTTGAACGCATGCATCGTACACGGGTTGAAGTGTTCGATGAATCTAACCGTAAACGTCCGGCACCGGTTGAGCCCACTGATGGTCTTGACCCGGCAAAGAGGCAACGCTTAGTCGCTGAGCCTCCAAGTCGCACGCCATCCGTCCAACCGCTACCGCCTGGTGAAGTGAGCTGGCGACAACTATACACACTGAACGCCGAGGGCAGCACTGCCAACTTTGATGTGCAAAACTTCAGGGATCCCGAGCAATTGCTGAGGATAGTCGTGCCTGTTCTGCAGTCGGTGAACCCACAGAAGCTTGAACAAGCTATCAACGTATGTGATGTCCCCTGTCCAATCCAGACCCACGTTGGCCTATACGTTGCGGGCCTTATCGGACGTGTCAGTCGTGGCCGTGCTAACATCATCTAGGCCGTCCGCGCTCGTTATCAGACACTCAAACAGACCGCACCAAGTCGCCCTGTACAGCCCCCACCGACCGCCGCCGCAGAAGACGAAGAAGAATACGAGCCCGACTTCGAGCCCGAAGACGCTGAACAACTCATCAACAAGCTCGATGGCATCCCCTCGAATCCCTTCTCCTCACAAGGCGGACCGTCAACCGCGTTAGCACCCTACAAGCTGCCCGAGGCACCTCCGTTATCAGAACAGGATGTTCAGAAGTACGGTGACATGACCGTACATCGAGCCTTCGGCATGCTGAGCAGTGTAGATGAGACACAGAAGAGCAAAGTCGCTAAAGGCGGCTTCAACCGACTTGCGGCCACCGATTACAACAGAGACGCCTGGGTCACTATACTCTCTCGACTAGCTACACGAGCCAGCGCTGGCCTAGACGATCCGGAAGAAGGCATCAAAGATGAATACGCCGTTAAGAACGCCAAGGGCAACATGCACATCAGCGATGCGGTAAGAGATGGCCTGTATCAGTACATACTGTACAACTGGAAGTCGCGCATCGATGTTGCCATTTCGTGGCTCAACGAAGAATGGTACAACGACATGGTCCTCGCCGAGTCCGCCGAAGACACCGCTACAAACGGCTCGTCCAACCACCACACCTCGCCGAAGCCACCAGGGAACTACCACCGCTGCGCCCTCCGCCTCATCGACGGCATCCTACCCTACATCGAGCATACCGATAAGATCATCATCCGCTTCCTCTCCGAGATCCCCGCCATCGACTACAGCATCCTCGTGCGCCTCAAGAAGATGGCCGAAGACCCTGAGCGCATCGACTTGGCGTGTAACACACTCCACTACCTGTACATGTTCCGTCCGCCTGTCCGCAAGATCGTCGTCGATATCCTGGCAGAGATGTGGACGGAGAATGAGCGGGCGAAACCTAGTGCGCAGAAGTTGCTGGTTAGGTGGAGGCCGGAGGTGCTTGGTGAGGGTAGGAGCGTCAGTATGCCTACTATGGTTAAGAACGAGAGTAGTGCGGGGGCTGGTGGGGATACGCAGATGGTTAAGGAGAGTGCTAATGGCGCTTTGGAGGTTAAGGCTGTTTCGTAGATGGGGAGTTGAGGACAGAGGAAACTGGGGCAGAGATGAAGGAAGGAACATGCCATGGGTTTGGATTCGAGGCGTTCGTTTCTTCACGTGTATACCTATCGGTGTCATTCGTAGGGTTGTGTTACGATAGGGAGTAAGGAGGCTTGCACCACAGTAAGATGGAAGGAAAAGATATGGGAAAGCCAAGGCTCCAACCCAGAGAGGTTCTGCATGGTTCCACGAAGATACAGTGCAGCCAGTGTACAACATTCCAATTTGTTCAAAACACGAACCTGCATTCATCCATTGGCACTTTTACTTTACGTCGTAGTGATCGTTTCTATGCTAATACATCTCCATCGAAATCACGAGATCCTCCTCTCTAACAAGGCACACATCTACTCAATCTTCATCTTCTGGAACTGCTCAATACTCGCCTCCCAATTCCTCGCCTCCAGCTCCGCAGTCCTCAGCTTCTCCTTCTCCTGCTCCTTGACCGCATCACTAACCTTCTGCTCCCACTCATCATCCATAATCTTCTTCTGGCGCGTAATCGTCTCGTTGGCTTTAACGAGGCGGTCTTGAGCCTTGGTAATCTCCTTGTCGAGCTCGATGCGGCCCTTGACGTCGAGATACGCGGTCGCGGCGGTGCCGATTGTGTAGACGGCGCAGCCGGAGGGGATGGAGTCGGTGGGAGAGAGGATTTTGATGTCTGCGACCGTCTTGCCGGCGAGGGAGCGGATGGAGGGGAGGGAGGTGGGTGTTGAGAGGGTGGCGTGGGTAGAGTCGTCCAGGGACTTGATGTAGGTGGATGCGCCTTCTTTGATGGCGTATTCGGCGGTCAGAGAACGGAGACCCTTTGCGCTGTCGACAAGGAGCTCGTATTCGGCGTTGGCGGTCTCGTCTTCGAATTCTGGCTTGTATTGGGGGAAGGGCGCAATGGTGATGGAGGGGGTGGAGTCGCCTTGGCGGCGGGGGAGACGCTGCCATAGCTCTTCGGTGAGGAAGGGCATGAAGGGGTGGATCATGTTTAGTCCTGCCTCGATGGCGGTGTAGAGCGTCTGTTTCGCGCTTTCCTTCTGCTCTTCGCTGCCTTCGTCGAAAATGGCCTTGCTGTTCTCGATGTAGGTATCGCAGAGGTAGACGTAGAAGTACTTGTAGGCGGCTTGAGTGGCCAGACTGAACTCGCGTGCCTCCAAGTGATCGTTGATCTTCTTGGAAGCGACGTTGAGCTGGTGCAGAATGTACCGCTCAGGTAGTGATTCTGAGCCTCCCTTTGTGACATGTTCTCGTGGTGTGAAGTTGTCACCCAGACGTCCAATGACGTACTTGGTGGCTTGGTAGATCTTGTTACAGAACCTTCGGTATCCGTGGATGACCTAATAACTGGTCAGTATATAACATTGAGAACGTTGTATGGAAATCACTTACGTTAACATCGAACGAGATGTCACCTCCTCCTGTTGTGTACCCAACAAGGGCCATGCGCAACGCATCAGCACCGCACTCGGGGATACCCTGAGGGAAGGCTGTCTTCTGGTACTTCTCCGCCTTGGTCAACTCCTTGGGGTCCAGGTTACCAGCACGGAGCTGGTCGTGTAGCTTCTGCAGTGTGATACCATCCATAATATCAACAGGGTCTACAACGTTACCCAGCGACTTGGACATCTTCCTGCCATCAGAGTCACGAATGAGCGAATGGCAGTAGACCTCCTTGAACGGAACCTTGCCGGTGAGGTACAAGGAGAGGAAGATCATCCTAGCAACCCAGAAGAAGAGAATGTCCCATCCGGTCTCGAGAACAGATGTGGGGAAGAGCTTCTCCAGATCGGCAGTCTGGTTGGGCCAGCCGAGGGTGGAGAATGGCCACAGACCGGAAGAGAACCACGTGTCGAGGACATCCTCGTCTCGTGATAGCGTGAACTTCTTGCCAGGGAATTTCTTCTCTGCCTTGGCCCGCGCCTCCTCTTCTGTCCGGCCGGTGATCCAGAGCTCGTCCTCACTTCGGTCACCCGCTTGACCTTCGATCTCGACAAAGTATGCGGGAATCTGGTGACCCCACCACAGCTGACGGGACAAGCACCAATCTTGAATGTTGTTCATCCAGTGCATGTAGACCTTCTCGGATGTGGCGGGCCTGATCTTAATGTCGCCCTTCTCGACAGCTTCGATAGCGGGCTTGGCCAGACTGTCCATCTTCATCCACCATTGCGGCTTCATGATAGGCTCGATAACGTCTCCAGATCTTGAGCAGATCGGGACCTTCATGGGGTTAGGCTCCGTCTTTACAAAGAGGTCGGCCTTCTTCAACGCGTCAACGACGGTGTAGCGGACATCGAAGCGTTTGGCGCCTTCAAATTGACCAGCGTTCTTGTTCATAGTTCCGTTGTCGTTCAAGATGTTGATGAACTCAAGACCGTGCTTCTTTCCGAGGTTGAAATCGTTGGGGTCGTGCGCTGGAGTTAGCTTCACAGCTCCGGTACCAAACTCAGGGTCAACATAGTCGTCAGCGACGATAGGCATGAGACGGTCAATGAAGGGGTGACGGGCTTTCTTTCCGACGAGGTGCTTGTAACGGTCGTCCTTGGGGTGAACAGCGATACCGGAGTCACCGAGCATGGTCTCGGGACGTGTGGTAGCGATCTCGATGAACTGGTCGGTACCTTCGATGGCGTACTTAAAGTGAGTGAGGACACCGAACTCAACCATCCTCTCGTACCCAGGTACAGAAAGCTTGGTAGGTCCAGCCAAGTCCTTGTTGTCGACCTCAAGTGTACTAAGAGCCGTGTTGAGAGCCGTACACCAGTTGACTAATCTGTTACTGCGGTAGATCAAGCCATCCTCGTGCAGGCGTACAAAAGTCTCTGTAACAGCCTTGGAGCAGTTCTCATCCATGGTGAAGGCCTCGCGTGTCCAATCGAACGATCCACCCATTCTGCGCAGAGTGTGGGTGAGATGCTGATGGTACTCCTCTTTCCACTCCATAGTCCGCTCCAGGAACTTCTGACGACCGAGATCGTATCGTGTCTTGTTTTCCCTTCGCTTGAGCATCTTCTCGACAACGGACTGTGTAGCAATGCCGGCGTGGTCGCAACCGGGCAGGTACAGGGTGGTGTACCCCCTCATCCTATGCCACCGTATGAGGACATCCTGGAGACTCGTAGCGAGCGCGTGTCCGCAGTGTAGCTTTCCGGTAACGTTGGGTGGGGGAATGGGAATGACAAAGTGACCAGGTCCCTTGACGTCTCCGTTCTCGGCGAACTGAGGCTTGAAGAAGCCCTGGGAATCCCACCATGCATCCCATGCCGACTCGACGACCTTGGGTATGTATGCCTTTGTGTATGCGTCATCTAGTGGCCTCAGCCTCTTCTTCTCGCCCTTGGGTGTCTCTTCGACGTATTCTGGTAGTTGCTCCTCCTCCTTGCCCTTCTTCTTCTTCTCTTTGGCTGGAGCGGCGGTATCCTTGGAGGCACCGGCAGCGGCTGCCTTCTTTGCCTTGAACTTTGCGTCCTTCTCGGCCTTCTTGCGCTCCTTCTCGAGTTCCTTGGCGGACTTCTCCTTCTTCTCTACGCCCTTGTCGTTCTCACGGCCAGGCGCATGTTGGCCGGTGGCCTCGTTCTCGGCAGCGCCAAGGATGTCTTTCTTGACGTCTGCGCTGAGCTCGGGCGGCGGCGCAGTGTTTGGCGTCGTCTTCTCGCCGGTCGAGTTGTGGGAGGACGCGTTGAGCGCCATGGTTGCGGTCGAGTAGTGGTATTTGTGGGTGAGCACGCGCTCAGCGTGAAGCGGCGTGTAGGTTCGCGATAGGCTGCGGATTGGCCGTCTCAACTGCAATGGGCGTCTGGCAAGATTTTGAGAATCGAGGTTTCGTCTGCAGGCGGCGCGCAGTGTAGTGGGCGCGGTGCGGGGCAACATTAACAAAAAAGTGCCTGGGTGTGAGTCGTCCAAGTCCGGCATGCGTCACCCCACATCCTGGAGCTCGGACGGACCCCGCCTACGACGACGAACCATTGAGCCATGCTCGTTGCTCGATGACTGCATACAATCCAGTCATTACGGGACACAGTCATTCCCAGACGATAGGAGCTCTCCGATCTCACATCGGGAATGCCCGACGATGATCCATATGTGATGAAAAGCAAAACACCAGGTGAGGCGCACAAGTCGAGTCAGAGATAGGTGTGTCACGAAAAGATTCATCATTGACTACCGTGAGCATAAGACACTTCTAGCAAGAATGAGCGTCCACCAACACCCCAATATGCATTGAGCCGAGTACTTGATGAGCTTTGTTTGCTCCCATGCGCCTGCGATGTACCATTGCGCTCCCCATCGCTTATACAAGAACGATACCTAGCACTTTGCCCTATGCACTGCCGCTCCGTGATGTGCACCTTGTGCTTGTACGCCGGCACCTCGGTTGTGTCTCAAGCCAAAAAAATTTGGAACGGATAGATGGGAGACCGAGTATTTCGTTGCTGTAACTTTTATGCTATTACATAAAGTCTAATTACGTGAATGGGTATCTCAATCATGCCGCGGTGCTGTTTTGCTGCGCGGCCTGTCGGACGGGCGCAAAGTAAGGATGTTGCATGGCCTCTTGGGCAGTCAGTCGGTCCTGATACATGTTAGTCTTTGACACCGCATCTTTACATACGACAGAACGTACCTGGTGGTCGTATCGCAGCAGTTTGTCGAGGAAGTCAATCGCATCGTTGCTGACAAAGCGCTGGTTCTCGGCATTGATGAACGAGTGCCACGGCTTCTTGGGATACCGACTAAGTATGTCGTCGTACTGGGCGTCTAGCTCAATGTCGTACTTGTCGAGATAGTCGAACAGGTCCTCCGTTCCAAGCACCTTGGCAATCTTGACGAGCTGGTCCGAGTTGCTGTTGCCGTGGAAGAATGGTTCCCGCCTGAAGATCATTGAGGCGAACATGGCACCCAGCGACCACATATCAAGCGAGTAGTCGTACTCTTGGAAATCGACTAGTAGCTCGGGGCCCTTGAAGTAACGTGACGCGACACGGACGTTGTATTCGGTTCCTGCATGGTAGAATTCCGCTAGACCCCAGTCGATTAGGCGCAACTAGTACTCGTTAGCTGTGCTCCTCTGCTCTGATAGGATGTGCCCACCTTCCGCTTCTCATGATCGATCATAACGTTATGAGGCTTGACATCACGGTGCATGATGCCTTTGCTGTGGCAGTAGTCGAGGGCCTTGAGCAGCTCGAAGATGTAGTATCGCACGTCGTAGTCCTGGAACTTAGGGTACAGACTCCGGAAGTCGGTATTGTTGACGTATTCGAATATCAGCGAGGGTGTTTTGCTCTGTTGATCGCTGGTCAGCTTTTCTCTCAAGCACGCGGCAGCGGTTGGGTCTCAGTACCCAGTCGCCAATCCAGTCGGAGCCGTCACTAACCTGGTTGTCGCGCACCACGTCCAACAGCGAGACGATGTTGGGGCCACCCGACAGATTCTGCAGGATCTTGATCTCACGCTTTATCTTCTTCTTCTTGACGGGCTTGAGGACCTTGATGACGCATTTCTGGTAGTTAACCACGTTGATGCCCTCAAAGACCTCCGAGTACTTTCCGCGGCCAATCTTGCGGACGACCTCGTAGTTCTCGAGCACGCCCCAGGAGATGTTCACAGAGTCGTAGTCCCAGTACGACCGAGGCATGTTCGCGTTGACATCGGCATAGACGCGAGCGAGGCTTGTAGCCCCGCTACTGTTGTTCAACGCCATTCGGGTAACAAAGCAGTTCTCCGGGAGATCTGTGGAATTCCACCTTGCGCGTTCTTCGAGGTCTGTACTGAGATCTCTGCGCCAAGGGGCTGTTGTATCGAGCGAGGGGTCGTATAGTGGGGTGAAGAAGCGGAGGACGTCGGGACCCTGGGAGAAGAGGGCAAGGCCTGCAAGCGCACCAAGGACAGCGAGCGCAAGTAGCGGGTATGGAGGAAGGCGCGACAGAGGGCCGTTACGGCAGTCGCGATGGGCCTCGTGGTTGGGCGGGGGTGCCTGGGTGTCGGCGGTGGTGAGCTCTGGCTGCTCGTGTTGGTGGTGGAGGATGGCTTGTGGGCGTTAGACTGGTACCAGGCAAGGGCCAAGCTTTTCCGGCAGGCGGGCCCAGGTGCTGATGACGATCCCTTCTATCTCACTTACAATTATTTAGCTTGCGCTGCCGCACTTCCCCTTCAACCTCTGCAGTGGTCATTCTAGCTAGTGCAGCCATGTTTCACGACCTGAATGTTCCCTGGACGGACGCGACGCGCGAGCTGCAGCGCACAGTAGCTTTCCTCGACGAATGTGAGCTCTTCGAGTTGTAGTTGAATGCGCCGGCGGTGGACTGACGCGGTGCAGTAGGATACGACGTCGTTGCTCTCACGCACACCTATTCGGGGAAACTGCCGACTGATATAGTACGTCGAGGAAACTGCGACCCTTTCACCTTCCTCTTTTCAATCGCTAATGCGCTGCTCAACCAGAGTTCGCCTGTACCCACAAAACTCCCCTTCCCGGTCCCTCCACGCATGCGCATTCTACGACGATGCAACATCTTCCTTACCGATTCGGCCTCCAACTTCCGCATACCACAGCTCCAGCAGCAATATGACCTCGTAGCCGCGCGACCCACAGACGACCGCACCCTCCAGCAGGCATGTCAGAGTCTGGACGTAGACATAATTTCACTCGACCTGACCAGGCGATTCGAGTCCCACTTCAAGTTCCCTACGCTGGGGACCGCTATATCCCGTGGTATTAAGATCGAAATATGCTACAGCCAGAGTATCATGTCGAGCGATCCCGCCGCAAAGCGCAACCTGATTAGCAATGCGACACAGCTCATACGCGTGACCCGCGGTCGGGGCCTCATATTTAGTTCGGAAGCGAAGAGCGTGCTAGGCATACGCGCACCCAGTGATGTCATCAACCTGGCTTCTGTCTGGGGACTCGGCACAGAGAGAGGCAAAGACGGTCTGACAAAGGAGCCTAGGAGTGTAGTCGAGTATGCGCGATTGAAGCGCCAGAGCTTCAAGGGCATCATAGATATTGTCTATGGTGGAGAGAAGCCAGCGCAAAGCTCTGCGGCTAAGGGCAAGGACAAGCAAGATCCGAAGGGGAAAGCAAACAAGAACCAGAACGGCAAGCGGCCAGGCGAGAGCTTAGAGGGCACTCCCCTGCACGAGACCAAGGCAGAAAAGCCAATCTCGAAGCGCCAGCAAGCCAAGAACAAAAAGGCAAAGGTACAGGAGGGGGGTGGAGAAGTGACAGAATCCTGACGAAGGAGTATTTTCACTCTATTCAGACAGACGGCAGATGATACCCATAGACACGAGCAGCAATGCACAAGAAAGATCATACCCACACCTTTGTATTCTCTCAACATTACTACCTCGCAGGAACACTCAATGCTCAACTGCTACAATCAACTATATAACATAGAAACTAACAAAGCATAGACATCTGGATATTGCCAAATGTGAGACATCTACCACCACCACATCGCTGCCTGAACCTCCGGCGTCGGCTTCACCAACCTCCTTCCGAGATTCACCGTGACACGACTCTGTAGCGCAACAGTGCTGATATCGAAAGGTAGAGGCTCTTCAACGGGCGTAGGCGCAGGCGCGCCGGCTGCGACTTGGCTCTGAGCCTGCGCGCTTGTTGTTGCTCTTGGAGAAGGAGAGGAAGAAGTCGCTGATGCAAGCGATACCTCGACAGATGGTGTTACACTTGCAGATGATGATGTTGCAGCGGCCGAAGAGGCAGAAGCAGAAGCAGATCCGCTAGCCATCATAGTTACACCCGCTCCAGCCGCACTCGTCGTAGTTCCTGCGACAAGGCCAGGCCGAGTCAGTGTAGCCGAGTCGATAGCTACGGTGCTGCTTGAGCTTGTCGAAGCAGCCTGCTGTGCTCCAGGGGGTGGTGAACCCCCGGCCTCAACTGTTACCGCACTGCCCACGACAGTCTGCATGGTACTTTGACTCATTGTTGGCGCGCTGCTCATGGATCCCAGTTGGAAGGGCTGGGCCTGTGGTGCGGACATGGGGAAAGATCCAGCCGGGCACATGCAAGCGCAGTTGCATTGAGAAGCTGCTGTAGCAGCGGCTGCACCACCAGATCCTGCGACGACGGTGACTGCAGCCGCAGCTTTTGAGGTAGTTGTAGCTCCCACGAGGCCAGCGGCAGTTCCATTGCTTCCTCCGCCTGCGACAACTGTGACCGCGGCCGCTGCACCACCCGAGGATGCAGTACCGTTCGTTCCAGATCCTGAGCCGGCGACAACAGTAACCGCGGCTGCTGCTCCACCTCCACCAGAAGCGCTAGCAACTCCAGCAGTACTGTTTCCGTCGGCTTTGACTGTGACTGCCATGCCTACTGCAGTTGTTGTCGTTGCAGCAAGACCTCCGGCCGTAAGCTTGGCCGAGTCGATCGCTGCAGTACTAGCTGAAGTAGAGTTTGAAGCACCTTGAGCGCCAGCTGCGGGCTCTGATCCGGCCGATACAGTCACAGCAGCTGCAGGTGCCATGGCGGCTGCCGAACCCTACTGTAGCGTTAGCGATGTACAAAATGGAACATAACTCAACAACGTACCGTAGAGTTCTTGCTTTCCGCTAGACTGGCTGTCTGCATAGGCTCAGCAGCGGGCATAGCGGCTCCCTTGGCTCCCATGCTGCTTGAGTTTCCAGCAGCCATGCCTCCCATCTGAGAAGGGGCATTAGTCCAGGGAATAGGAGTCACTTTGGGCAGAGCTGACTTTCCAGCGGGGAAAACTGTCTTTACCGCCTTGGAAGAAGCGGGAGCCTCTGCTGGCTTCTCAACGGCGGCAGATGATGATGATGCAGTGGCTGCCTCTGGTGCCTCGGCCGCAGCTTTCGACGATGTAGCTGAGGCTTCTCCGGCAGCGGATGACGAAGCTGATGCTTCTCCCTTCGCTAGTGAAGATGCCGGTGCTGCTTCTGCCGGCGCTTCCCCTTTAGCTGAAGACGACATAGTTGGTGCCTCTGCCCCTGCCGTTGATGAAGCAGATGCTTCAGCTGGTGCTTTTGCGGCGGTTGATGACGATATGGCAGTTGCTTCTCCGGCTGGTGGTGATGATGCTGATGTCGCTTCAGCTGGGGCCGATGGTAATGCTGCTGCTGGCGCTTCTCCAGCGGGTGGCGTCGCTTCGGCTGCTCCCTGTGGCGCTGCTTCAACCAGCGTTGCTGCAATCTCCTGGCCATTGGGTTGAGTGACGATGGTCTGAACTATTTGAATCGTTTGAAAGTTGCTACCATTTTGCGGTGCTCCAGACTGGGATGGTAGTTGGCCTTGTCCATTCGGTGCGAGTTGATTCGCGAGATCTCCAGCAATGTCGGCGCTGCCACCCTGACTAGCACCGGGTTTGGGGGCCAGCTGGTTTGCAAGATCCCCGGCGATGTCGCTCGACTTGATGTCCCCTCCTGCTCCTTGGTTGGCACCCTGTGACGTTCCTTGCGCACCACTCTGGCCCTGCGGCTGCGGCTGCGGCTGCGGGGTGCTGGTCTGGTTTGTCGATGGACTCTGCTTTTGCCCATCAAGCCCAATGAGGATGCCTTCAACGCTCGGAGAGCCTCCACCAGCGATCTGGTTTGCGAGGTCTCCACCGACGTCATTCGTGTTGATGTCTCCGTTGCCACTCCTTTGGCCTTGTCCTTGGCCTTGCGCAAGCCCATTTAACAAGGCGTTTGCGTCCAGGCCGTTCTGTGCAAGCCTGGCGGCGATGATTCCATTGTCCAGTCTACTGGCTTGCTCGGCAGCAGGTACGTTGAGTGCTTCTGTATCCCGTCGTTGCCAGTCGAGTCCCGATACCAAGTTGTCGATACGTCTGCCCGAGACTTCGGTTCGTATGTGAGTATTGTGAAGATCAAGTACTGCCTGAGTGACCGTCTATACGCAGTCAGTGAAGAGTCCCTACAAGCAAATGACATACGTACTGCAGTCATGAGCAGCAGGGCTGGTACCCAGGACGATCGAGTTCTAGTCATTGTGGAATCCTTGATGAAGTGCGAACCGGAAACGATAGAAAAGAAAATTAGTAATTAGTACATCAACAGTCCAGCTGGAGTAGAATCGAAGGCGATGTCACAGACATGCAGAACCTCTCAGTACCTGCACAGCAGAAAGACCGAAGAGTTGAAGATGGAACGGAAACGTGTGGACACACAATGGAAACAGATAGTCCGGATGCAAACGAATGTAAGCTTCCGATAGTGCGAGAGCGTGCCAAACCGTTCAAAGGTTCATGACTGAGGCGAAAACTATCCTACTTAACGGGTCCGACATGTTAGCCCCGCTCAGCATGTTTCTAACCGTGTGGTGCTGGTTTCGAGCCTTCGCGGCTACTCGAACAGTGTTCAGGTGCGTCTCAAGGGTCGGAACGGTGTTCCTCAAATGGAGTCCCAGCGCGCAGTAGTGCAGCCGGTGATGGCATTGTCGGGTCAGCCTAGCTATCAGGGTTTGTTCCAGGCCAGTAACGTGCGATCCATGATCGACAGGCCCGCGAAAAGCGATTTTGGTGGTAGTCAAGCTTCACGATCGTCTGGCCAGCCGCTATGGTGGTGTAGTCTGACACGCGATGTGCGCGAGGCAATGGGGTTCACACCGGAGGCGTTTCACTCTGTGGAACATGGCGTTTTCTTCCTTCCGCTCGTGCATGAACGAAATCGATCTTCCATTACCGATCTATTTCCGCCCAAGTGCCGTGCGATAGCAAAGGCTTATCAATCGCGAAGCTGCAAAGTCGCGTTGTGCTGTGAAGCATGTGCGTAGCTGGTGATCGCGGGAGAAAGTCGTGCCTAGTAATCGTGGCTTGGCGACCGATGACGTGCGTCATTACCCTGGGCCTGACGCTTGCCAGCCCCTGGGGCCAACTTCCATCGCAAAGAATACGATTCTCGCTCGTCGGAGTCGGCCAAATTTTGCCAGCGCAGCGTAGAACGCTCGGCTTCCGTACGTAGCGACGTAGCTGTAAGCTCTAGGCTTCTGTATATGTAGGCGCAACTCTGCTGTCAAGGTTCGCGCACACAACAACAGCACCATCCAGAGGTCATCATGGCCGCCATACACGTCCTCGATGACTATTATCTTGCCATCACCTTCCTCGTCACTGTTGCATACCAGCTGATCGGCTTTGCGATCGCCTTTTCGTTCAAGTTCGACAAGCTTACTGACTTTGCCGGCGGCACCAACTTCATCCTTCTTGCGATTATC